GTATAAAATGCAACTGAAGCAAAGCAGGTCTTGACAGGTGCTTATGCAACAATGTCTTTTTACCGAACACCACATTTCCTGCGTCTACACGCAATCCTTGCAAAAATTGCATCCTCGTGAAATACCTTTATAAAAATTCAGATGTTTCCGCAAGGATTGGCAAGTTACGAACTTGGTCATCTATGTGATCGTGTTTGGCGCGTAAACACGTGCGATCTGCACTGTCTCTCTCGTGGGAAAAACACCCGCGCGCGATGTGCCTAATTAAACGTTTACTTTGAAAAAACAAATACCGCTTGCGTGAGGCTCGTTAAAAATCAGGTAGCGCATAAGTTGTGAGCGGATCATTAATGTTGGCCGTATCATTAACATGTACAATACATATAATAACATATATGCTTGCCCGAGCCCGTAATTCTATTTAAACATAGCAAATGTCATGGAATTGAATACCGGGACTCAAGCGAGTGAAACATAAGTTCTTTAAATTACGTGAGAACTTTTTATAAAAAACATATATAGTTTATATGTTATGTAGTTTAATATATATTATATATATTTATATTACATATATAATTAAATATAAATTATTTATATTATTTATATTAATTAAATATATTACATATATATTATTTACATGTTTAATTATAATTTATTATATATTTATGCATAGTATGCATCTGTATAATTTTACATAACGAGATAAGCGAGATGTCCACTTGTTTATGGAATTATGTCCTATCGGCTCTCTTATCATGTGTGCAACTTTAAAATCTATAACTCGTACTTAAGATAAAAGACAAGGAAGTCAAGTCTGAAAAAAATATAAAATATTTGATACGCTCGATTATGTCTGATTTTAATCGGCCGACGAGCAATTGGATGATTCTTTATGTTTATCGGATGTGATATTGTAATAGAAGAATTGATTACCTATATAAAATTATGAAAAATTCCGTTCGACCTTCTTATAATATTGTCGTTGCGTCGTTTATCATCTCTTATAGTTGATTACGTAAAGCCGTAAATTAACTCGAGACGAGTCGTTTGAGGAAATCATTTTGATCCCAGACACACATCCTGTGTAATCTTATCGAAAAACTACACTGTCCTATTTACACTTGCATAGTTGTGTTTGTATTTCTTATTGAAACAATTTAATTGATTCTTAATCGACAGATTTAAATATCCTTGGCGTGTTATTAAAAAAAATCTCGATGAAAACTAAAATTTAGCTAAATTATAATATAAATCTGATGTCGACCATGAGGACCATATAATTTACCTATTGTTATACTTCGAATATTATCGAAAAAATGTTTTTCTCTCCTATTATATTTCTAAAGTATCTTCGATTTTTGCCTCCTGATGTATAAAGTTTAAATTTCTGCTTTCTGAGTCTTTACAGAGAAAATGTCTCTGATGTAAATTATAAAGCCATTAAAAGGGTGACAACAGAGAATAATTTTTGAATCTCGGCGTGGTTCATGAAACATGATACGTTTATTGATGAATTAATAAGTTAACTTATTAATTCCTTACTTTTGTGTTATGTTATGTTAATTAGCATGATGAAAACTGAATTAGCGATTTATAAAGTCGTATCACGTACTTATCTTCAATACTTTCATAAAATACATTTATGTTAACCTTTCAAATAAGTACGATAAGAAGGTGCGAATAGTAACGAAAGTAACCACAAAAAATGTAATTTTCCGCAATATATCAGTGACGTATGCATTTTATGAATGACGTTAAGCAACAAAGATTGTTGGTGAAGATCAATTATTCCTCAATTTACATACCATTTTTGCGTTATTCTTCGATAAGGCATACTTTTTATTTTAGCGAGAGATGGATGTAATTGCGAAGATTTGCACGCTTTCGTAATTAGCGCATTTTTAGATTATAGCGTTTAAAATAGCAATAATACGCGTCAAATGGAACTTGAACGCATACAATTAGGGAATAAAATCTATGATTTTCATGGAAAACAATCGAGGATTTTTTCTCGAAAAATATCACATAATACAAAAATACTGTAATATACTATTATTAAAGTCACAATGTTAAATTATGATTCAGTTTAAGTTAAAATGTATTAAATTTGACTCAAATTTCATTATTATCTACTAAATATATTATCTACTAAATATACATGTTAATATGGCTGCTATTTATTTTGAAATTAACCACAGAAATGAATTAATATTTTAGTACATATGGAAGTTCAAAATAATAAAATGTTATTTTTTTAACTCAAAGAATCGAATTGCTCTTTTGAGCAATGTAACTTAGCAGTGTATTCAGTAGATTTTCGAAAAATTTTTGTATATTTTTCGAGAATATAAAGCAGGTGGCCGAAATTGTTGCTTATTTATTCGATGCGTAATATTTTATATCGCATTTTGCATGATTATATAATATACCTTTAAAACGGCATATCATGTACACTGTATATCGTATACATCCATCGTACATACACAGCGCATATATCGAGCGAAAAGTACCGATAGAAAGTTGACAGGTTAATATGCATTCCTTAAAGCACCTCATTTGTATTCTTGGCCGTTGGATGATAGCCGCGTCTAAATATGACTGCATGACTCGATAATTCACCAATATAACCGATCGTTCTTTCGCAATAAGATACATTAAATCGAATTCTCTGAGATTGTCCGGAAAGAACCTGATTCGAATAATAGAAATAGAAATACGCACAGTTTTATTCAATTAAATTATATTTATACTGTACATTTACTTAAACCCTATATACGTAATATATACAATCGCTGTTGATCTATCGGTTTTAATTTACAATTTCCCCTTTCACGATGAAAAGGCTCACTTGCATAA